ATCTAAAATATTAGTTGGGCATGGTAGCATGTGCCTGTGGTCCCAGCTACTTGGGAGGCTGAGGTGGAAGGATCACTTGAATCCAGGAGTTCAAGGCTGCAGCAAGCTACGATTGTAACATGGCACTTCAGCCTGGGTGACAGAGGAGATCCTATCTCTAATAGTAATAACAATAATGCCTCAACACTGGGCATGGTGGCACATGCCTATAGTCCCAGCTACTCAGGAGGCTGAGGTGGGAGGATTGCTTGAGCCCAGAAGTTTGAATCCAGCCTGGACAACATAGTGAGACCCAATCCCTAAAAAATAATAATGCCTCACAAATTGACTAAGCCAAGCTGATTTGCCCATATTTCCCCAAGCCTTAGGCTTCAATTTTCTGAGACAGAAGTGAAGGTATCAGACTGGATTAGGGTTTTTTGTACTGTGCTTCGTGGAGCCCCACAGGCTCCTGAAAACATTCGAAGACCACCTCGCACAGCAAGGGAAGGGAACAGTAGCAGGTAGAACACGGACTGACTCCCTGACATGCTTCAACCACGGCACGGCTACTTTGATCTATTTTATAAATGAGGCTTCTGCCACTCAAAAGGGGTTTTTCCCATGTAAAAAAAAAGCTCAGGACTAAATCTCTGAGGTTCCTTTACAGCTCCAAAGCCCTCTGACCCTACACCATTAGCACCTGTAATCCAAAATGAAAATAGGGACACCTACAATGGAAGGAGGGTTTCATGACGAAAACTCACCGATAGCTGACTGCATTTAATGAAAGTGATAGGGGTCAGGGTACCCCAAGAGTGGATACCCAAGCAAGGCTGCCGAGTGGAGCCATGCCAGGATGCAGGGCTCTTACCAGCTGGCTGTGCCTGTGGTGCTCTTCTGCCATCTCACACTGGGCAGCTTCTTCTGCACACAGCAGCATATCTGCCAGGACGTGAAGGCCTCCAGTCTCAACAAGGTTCTGGCCCCTAAACAGTGCATTCTCAGCAAGCCACCTGAAGGGTCGTGGCTATCGGGGATAACACACGTGCCAGGTGGGCTGAGGTGCACCTCTGTCTACTCCTGATGACCCAGGGAAGCAGTGGGCAAAGGGAAACCCCGTCAGTTACTGATCAAACATCTGGTCTTGCACTCCTCCCCTTGAATGCCCATGAGATGAGAGGCAAAAATTACCTGAGATAAACTGCTACCAATTTCAGTAAACATTTAGAAATCACCATATCTAAAGCAAAATCTGATCCTTTTTCTGTAATCACTGTTTTGGCATCACAATCCAGTCAGATGTTTGAGCTAAAAACCTTGGAGTTATTTTCAAACCTTTTCTCCTCCCACTCTCATCTAATCGGTCGCCAAGTCCATCTGCTCTCTTCCTAAATCTCTTGGCTCTCTCCAACCCCTCCTGCTCTTCTGTCCCCACTCCCAACACCCTGCAGTTCATCCGACTCATCCCTTACGTAGACTGGTAAGTGAGCCTCCTCCCATAACTGGTCTCCCACTGGTGCTAGCCTCTCTCCGCTAATCCAGAATTATCCTTTCCAATGCACAAATCTGACTGCATTTCTTTTCTTTCCTTTTTTTTTTTTTTTAAGAGACTAGGTCTCACTCTGTCACCCAGGCTGGAGGGCAAGGGTGCCATCATAGTTCACTGTAGCCTCAAACTCCTGGGTTCAAGCGATCCCCGTAAAGCACTCGGATTACAGGTGTGAGCCACTGCCCCCAGCCTCTTCTCTTCTTAAAAACCTCTGATGCCAGGTGTGATGGTGTGTGCCTGTAGTTCCACCTACTTGGGAGGCTGAGGAGGGAGGATTGCTTAAGCTCAGGAGTTCAAGACTGTAGTAAGCTACCATTGCACCTGTGAAAGCCACTGCACTCCAGCCTGGGCAACATGTGACCCTGTCTCTAAATTTTAAAAAGTTAAAAAACCTCCAGAGGTTCCTGCTTCTACCTTCCCACCATCCATATCTCAACAGCTCACTAGATTCTTGAATGCTTTTCCTCACCTCTAAACCTGCGTAAATGTCATTCAGTTTTGCCTTTTCCAACCTTCTGCAGTCTTCCCCTAAGACATCAACCTTCCCAACTTCTCATCTCCTATGACTTAAATTCTGCACAAACATTACCTCCTTGGCTGAATCTCCACAGTCGCTCTCACAGGACTTGATACAAACCTTTATGACAGCAGTTATCATGCCATATTTAAAGACCCATTTTCATGTTTATTTTCCCCACTAGACAATGAACTACCATTAGTCAGAGCTTCCTCGTATCCAAGAATTTAAGCAGGAGTTTACACAAAGCAAGACTTTGATGAACAAATAAAATGTGTGGATGAACATCCTAGGCAGTCCAAATTCTTATACTTGGGCACACAGTATGGTAGGGGTAGTGATTAAGAATATGGCTGGGTGGCCAGGCGCGGTGGCTCACGCCTGTAATCCCAGCCCTTTGGGAGGCCAAGGCGGGTGGATCACCTGAGGTCGTCAGGAGTTTGAGACCAGCCTGGCCAACATCTAGAAATCCTGTCTCTACTAAAAATACAAAAAAAAATTAGCCAGGCATGGTGGTGCATGCCTGTAATCCCAGCTACTCATGGGGCTGAGGCAGAACTGCTTGAACCCGGGAGGCAGAGGTTGTGGTGAGCCAAGATTGGGCCATTGCACTCCAGCCTGGGCAGCAAAAGCGAAACTCCATCTTAAAAAATAAAAAGAAAAAAAAAAAGCATATGTACACAGGGCTGGACGTGGTGGCTCATGCCTGTGATCCCACTACTTTAAGAGGCTGAGGCAAGTGGATCACTTTGGGTCAGGAGTTTGAGACCAGCCTGGCCAACATGGAGAAACCCCATGTCTACTAAAAGCACAAAAATTAGCCGGGCGTGGTGGTGGGCGTCTGTAATCCCAGATACTCAGGAGGCTGAGACAGGAGAATCGCTTGAACCCAAGAGGTGGAGGTTGCAGTGAGCTGAGATGGCACCACTGCAATTCAGCCTGGGTGACGAGCAAGACTCTGTCTCCAAAAAAAAAAAAAAAAGGCTGGGTGCGGTGGCTCATGCCTGCAAGCCTGTAATCCCAGCACTTTGGGAGGCTGAGGCAGGTGGATCACCTGAGGTCATGAGTTCAAGACCAGTCCGGCCAACATGGCGAAACCCCATCTCTACTAAAAATACAAAAATTAGCCGGCATGGTGGCACATGCCTGTAATCCCAGCTACTCGGGAGGCTGAGGCAGGAGAATCGCTTGAACCCGGGAGGCAGAGATTGCAATGAGCCGAGATTGTGCCACTGCACCCCAGCCTGGGTGACAGAGCAAGACTCCATCTCCAAAAAAAAAAAAAGAATATGTACACAGGAGTTAAAGGCCCAGGTTTTGAAAATCCTGAATCTGCCAATGACTTGTGACTTTAAAATACACTCAACTCCTCTGAATCTGTTTCCCTGTCTGTAGAATGACAATAGTGGCACCTACTCCACAGCACTGCTATGAGGATGAAGCATAGTGTCTGCTACATAGTAAAAGCGCAACAAATGGAAGCTTATGGTCACGGTGATGGTATCACCAAGAAAAAGCCAGTGGTGGTATTTCCACCACCTAGTGGGCAGAGAAAAGCACTTATATTATAACACCAAAAAATGTTCATCAGGAAAGTGGGATTACCCCTGAGAGAAAAGAAAAAGAATGCAATCAGGGAGGAGCCGAGAGGTGTGCTAGCAAGGTTCTATTTTGAAAGTTGGGTAATAAGATACATAGTTGTTCATTTTATTATTTTTAAACTATAAATATATAAGTACTCTTTTTATACACAATCCCAATTAAACAAAAAATTTTAAGACTGCCAACAGAGAAAAGGCTGTTTTAAATCGTTTGGCAGTTGTTTCCCATGTATCTCATGACTTTCGTTTCACGTGCTGCTGAGCTCCTGCTGTCCTGGCTGAGGCAATGGACAGCCTGGGTATCTGAAAGGATACAGTGTTTCCAGTGAGTAAAGGTGCGCCGCAGGGCCATCTTCCTGGCCAGTTTCTCCACCTGGGCATGGTAGGCATACAAGCTCTGCCTCTGCTCCCAGGCCTGCTGCCAGTCACAGAAGTGTATCTGGAGCACGGTGACATGATGGAATCGCTCAGCCATCTCTGCAACAGAGAAATAACTGCTGCTCCCTCAAGGTTAGAGGATGAGCTGGAAACATCTTTAAGACAAGCTGAACCCCACTACTGGCGAGAGCAGGGGTTCAAGGCTACACACACACACACACAATGCTAAAAGTTTTGTTTTGTTTTTTTTTTTGAGTTGGAGTGTCGCTCTGTCGCCCAGGCTGGAGTGCAGTGGCGCGATCTCAGCTTACTGCAACCTGTGCCTCCTGGGTTCAAGCGATTCTCCTGCCTCAGACTCCCAAGTTGCTGGAATTACAGGCATGCGCCACCACCCCTCGCTGATTTTTCTGTATTTTTAGTAGAGACGGGGGGTTTCACCATGTTGGCCAGGCTGGTCTCGAACTCCTGACCTCAAGTGATCTGCCCGCCTCAGCCTCCCACAGTGCTGGGATTACAGACGTGAGCCACCACGCCCGGCCAAAATACAAGTTTTTTTAAACCTTGAAAGGTCATTAGAAATCCCTGAGTTATATCTCCTCTCTCCAAGGAAAGAGAAAAGGTCTGTGATTTTAGGGAGGAGGGTGCTATAAAATCAGTTACATCAAAGGGCTGAGGCTTCTGGTTAGATACTGATAAACAGGAATGATAACTGTTGCTTTCAAAAGGACTGTTTTACTTTTGCTTCTAAACAAATGACTCCTGGATAGGACTTAGAGATTGAGTTAATGACATAAAATTCAGCTGCCATGCTGGCATAGGCTTTTTTGAGCTTTCAGCCAACCTGATCCTGGCTGCCAGCTTCATCTCCTTTTAATGCTAGTCAGATAATGGTCTGATGAGCTAGGGCCCAGGAAGGGGATGGGAATCAGACCTGGAATTTGAATGCTGTAACTGGAGGCAGGCGTTCGTCTATAGCTTATCATGCTAAACAACTTTATGCCTTCACATTCCAGGACTGGGCAACTGGACTGCTGGTCTGGGGTCACTATCCTCCAAAGAACACATTCGAACTCTCCCAAGAGACAGTGTTGGCAGCCTAAGAGATTTCTGCAGCGAGGTTTGGCTGAATGCCAGAGACCCCTAACCCAGTGTCTAGCACAGTGCTTGACTCACTTGGGTATAAACTCAATAAACTTAACTTTAAAAGTGTACCAATGTTCACATTTCTGTGTATTATTACTTCTGAATCTAACTGGGAAACAAAACCATATAAGCAATATCCAAAAAACTTGATATCAAAATCATATGCATTTGCATAATTGGAGACAAACAGAAACTATCCAAATATCTATTAATAGAAGAATGGCTAAGTATATTAAGGTAAGCCATCCTATAAAATATGAATAGTTGTTAAAAAAAAAATAACATTCATAGCTGGGCACGGTGGCTCATGCCTGTAATCTCAGCACTTTGGAGGCTGAGGCGGGTGGATCACAAGGTCAGGAGATTGAGATCCTCCTGGATAACACGGTGAAACCCCGTCTCTATTAAAAATACAAAAAGTCAGCAGGCCACCATGCGGGTGCCTGTAGTCCCATCTTCTCAGGAGGCTGAGGCAGAAGAATGGCGCGAACCTGGGAGGCGGAGCTTGCGGGGAGTGGAGATCACGCCACTGCACTCCAGCCTGGGCGACAGAGCGAGCCTCCATCTCAAAAAAAAAAAAAAAAAAAAAAATTTATGACAAATACTTAAGATGCAGGAAAATGTTGATTAACTGTGTGGAAAAAAGCAAGATACAAAGCCATAGGTTATCAACATATTAATCAAAATAATTACAATACTTACAGCATAATGAAAACCCTATTTAGATAAAAAATATACAGAAGAGGCCGGGTGCAGTGGCTCACGCCTGTAATCCCAGCACTTTGGGAGGCCAAGGCAGGGGGATCACCTGAGGTCAGGAGTTCAAAACCAGCCTGGCCAACATGGTAAAACCCCATCTTTACTAAAAATACAAAAATTAGCTGGGCGAAGTGGTGGGCATCTGTAATCCCAACTACTTGGGAGGCTGAGGCAGAAGAATCACTGGAACCCAGGAGGCGGAGGTTGCAGTGAGCTGAGATCGCACCACCGCACTCCAGCCTGAGCAACAAGAGCAAAACTCTGTCTCCAAAAAAACTCTATCTATAGATAGATAGATATAGATACATAAATAAAAGAAAAGGCCAAAGGGAAATAAGTTTGACTCAAGGATGATGTATTTTCCTCCTCAATCTCCTTTTACCAACATTTCTGGAGTAACGTCATTATATTACTTCTTAGTACAGTACCAACGGCAGCAGGAGAGTGGAAATGGTGACCAGATCCTCTGTCTTGAGAGCCTGGAGCTTCCTACTCACCATTCTGCTGTCTCTTCACTCTGCGAACTTGCAGGTATTCAAGCCAGGCCTTCAGAAATCTCTGTTTTTGCCAGTGCCGATGGTGTTTCACCGCGGAGACGACCTTCTGTTTCTCCTTCTGGACATACAGGAGCTGTTCCCGCCACTGTGACCAAGCCTGAAAACCAGAGAAGAGGCAATAGTCAAAGGAGAGGCAGGAAAACAGGGTGAAGAACAGGTGGAAAGGGAAAAGAGAAAGACACACACACTGGAAAGGCTGAAATCAGAAACAAGGAAGTGGCAATCCCCTAGCGGGATCATAAGCTATGGGACTGTGGGGTAAAAGGGTCTTTAAGAGGGACATTCTGCTTTCAAAAGTAATTTTTTTCTGGATTAAAAAAAAAGAAGAAGAAGAAGAAGAAGAAAATCAGCAAGCAGATGCCAGGCGCAGTGGCTCATGCCTGTAATCCCAGCACTTTGGGGGGCCGAGGCAGGCGGATCACCTGAGGTCAGGAGCTCGAGACCAGCCTGCCCAACATGGCGAAACCCCATCTCTACTAAAAATACAAAAACTTAGCTAGGCGTGATGGTGGGTGCCTGTAATCCCAGCTACTCAGGAGGTT